ACATTAAGGAATCAATATTATATTGTACATTATAATATCAAAATATACAATATTATTTTTGTAATTGCTCCTTCGCCATGAGCTTTTTTAGTAGTTTAGGTGTACAGTAGTTTCATGGTTATACATGTGTACCTTTAGTTAGATTTAAAAGCTTTACTTTAACGGGTGACAGAGTACTTCTCCACTATTGGTACTTTAACTAATGTAAAAGGTCTGAACACTTTTTCTGCTGATACACACTACACCAAACTTGACCAGTGCTATATGAAGTCCTGCCCAGCCTTTACAACAACACACTATGTCATACTTTAACATACTAATTGTGTCTCCATCTTCTACCTTTGGCGAGCGTGGCCGGTCCGAAGTAGTTGTTGTCCATCAGCAGCTTGTCCATCTCCAAAGACACGCTCTGTGCTGGCGCCTTCACCTTCAAGCTGCTGTTCAGGATGACGATGTCCAGGCAGCCGTAACACTCCAGGATCTCTGCGATCACGTCCGGCAGGCTGTCCATGTCTCCAAAGTCCAGCAGCACCAGTTTGGATGGAAACGTCTGAGAAACAGAGATGAACACGGACTTTACTTCATCCCTTTTTTGGTACTTTACACTTTTACTCAACTAAATGTATATGCTTACTTTATGTCTTCATTAAAACAAAGACCATTCATAACCTTACAAGAAAGAGAAGAAAGGGGCTTATACCAGATTTTTTGCTATTTCAAACTGCAGTTCCAGTTACAAACAAAACAATCAACACAAGAGTTAAAGAGGCCCTATTTGTTTACTTCCATAACATAATGACATCAGTACATAACACTTGTGCTTCTATTAGCTAAGCTAGCTCTCCAACACATTGTACATGATAGGATAAGGGGCGGGACTTCTCTAAGCAGTGGACCAATCACAACCGAGCCGGCAAGCTAGCCAGACTGGGCTCTGGTTTCAGATGGTGAAACCAGGCAGTATGAGAAAAATAAAGACCTTTTTGAACATTAAAGCATGTAGACAGGTCCCAGTAGAGGAATACAATACACATATGAACCTGTAAATGAGCATAGTATGACTTATTTCATATAAAAAGTGTCTGTTTTAGTACTTACCAAAGTTGGGTCTGAGGCATTTGCCAAATCATCTTCAAGCTCTTCCAGTTTCTCCCAGCTCTTCCCACAGAGGATGAGCCTCGCTCCGCCTTTGTGAAACACATCTGCACATTCTGCATTGATAGAGCAGAGACACTACAGGTGAACAGGGTAACACATTTAACATAGATATCACTATGACATTTCACAAGTTGATGACTTACATTAAGTTAATATTAGAGGTATCAGAATCAAGTTTACTGCCAGGCACGTTTACACATAATAATAAATAGTAATAATAATAATAATAATACATTTGATTTATATAGCACACTTTAAAGACAAACGTCATTTCAAGGTGCTTCACAAAGCTACAGTATAAGGAAAAATAAGTAAAAAGATATCTAAAGGAGCATATTGGATAAAATATGACAATATAAAATGAATTTGTTTTGGTGTATGGTGATGCAAACATGAACAATCGAAGAACATGTGTTGTAAGAGTAGGTCCAAAATATAACAGGGGTATATTAAATATCAAGTTTAGGTATGCAAATGAAGCATTACCTTCTAAATGATGCGTGACATTTCCATTCATTTTCAGAAAAGTAATCTGACCATTGAACATTTTGTTGACAAATTACAGTCAAAGGTTTTTACAGAGGGGGTTTTAGATATATCTTATAATCCCTGGATATATCAAAACAATTCTGAAAACAACCATAAAAATTCATTTCAGACCCTTTTTAGTTTTATGACAATTAGGGTCTCTGATTAATAAACAAGGCCTTTGGTAAAAACCTTCATAATATGGATAAAAATATCACTGGAAAGGTTGGTTTATTCAAATGCTAGTGAAGTGGAGAAAACTCATTTTGAGAAAACAGCCTTAAAGATACTGTATTGTGAAAGTCATACATTGTGTACACAATACAGGTGAATACGCAAATTAGGCATTATCTAATAATTGTGTGATTTTAGGACACAAAAAAAGTTATTAAAATAATCTCCTAAATGTTTTTTTTGTTCAACTAGTCTGAAAGAAGATATGTTATGGATACAAAATATCTCCAAATCTCAAACTTCTCTTTACCAATACATTAGACTCCAAGACTTTAGAGTCTCGCAAAAAAAGACGAATTCAAACAAATCTTTAATACAAACGACGCATGTTACCTTTTCCAAGCCCAGATAAGGCGTCGGTTATGACCACCACTTTATTGCGTACAGATGTTTTGGACAATAGACCCACGACCGTGCTGTAGAGATAGAACAACCCAGCTGTCAGCACCACCACACATGGCACCAGCAGGACAGTGGTGGTCCACACCGGGTCCATCTCCTGGAGGAATTGCTGGAAAACGTTTTATTTCCTATTTAATATGCAGAACTTCAATAAAACAAGAACGCATATATCTTTGTCATTGCTAGCACATAATATTGAATGAGTTTGACACTCTGGGAATTCCGCTTATTTGCTTTCCGGTGGAAAGTTAGAATAAGCTTTCGTTGTTAAAGCATGTTTTGGGTTTTTGTCATACTTTTAAGATGTGAAATGGCTTTTCTCATGATGCAGATGAGATGGGATGGAGCGTCAACGACCGTGAAGGATCTAATGAACATGATTTACATGATAAAAAGGAGCGTGTCCTACCCAAAAGCTCTCCGGCTCCGTAACATTGGACTCCATCTCACCTGTTACAACCATTTTTAAATGTAACTACTCTTACAACTCTGAAATAAAAACAGAGAAGACAGTTTTAAACCACGATCTTACATTAATCATGAAAGCAAAAGCCTACTGGATTTGCAAACACAAACTATTTAAATTCTAAACATTTGCAATCTACAGGCAGTAAGTGCTTCATAAGGTACAATTACAATTCCAAATGTTAAAACTGAAAAAGTAATTTGTGTGGGGGCAGGTGGAGAAAGCAGGATTCAAGTATTTGTTTTGAATTTTAAAATTCTACTTTTTACTGACTTTTTCCAAAGATCAAAAGGAGGCGTGTGGTGCAGTGGGTTGTGTGTTGGTGTTCGGATCAGGGGGTCACAGGTTCAAACCCCACTGCAGTCAGCATGTCGTTGTGTCCCTGGGCAAGACACTTCACCCCAAATTGCTCCAGTGGGGATTGTCCACAGTATTGAGTATGTAAGTACAAGTGACATGTAATGTAATCAAAGCCTCTGTCTGATGTGCCAGTTTAAAGTCCATCAACATTTGAGACAAACAAACACAAACCAAACATGAAGATACAAAAATTAAAAATTAAATGACTACAAAGGGCCACAAAAACTAACTTCAAAAGATAGAAATTACTACAAAACAATCAAAACAACAACAACAAAATGACCACAAACACAAAATGACTACAAGGCCAACAAATGACACAAACTGTCCAGAAAGACAAACCAAACAACAACAAAAAACCACAAAATAACTACAAAGAAAAACAACATGGCCAATAAAAAGACACAAAATGACCACAAAGCGACGCAAAACAACCTTATGTGTCTACAAGGTTTTGGGGACTTCTGTTTAAATTAAAGGTTATTTTAGAGAGTGAATCTTTATATCTTGACATCAAGTGTAATCTGTTAGAAACTCCTTGACGAGGCCAGTTAATTGTCATCAGATCATAAAGACGGGCACTCACGCGTTCCAGATTTGTCCAACAGGGAATTTTGGTTTAGGTTTACCCTTCCAAGCACCGGCTGCTGGTCTAAATATAAACTGTGCTTGAAATAGATACTGTATCTCACACAAAGGCAAAATGCCATAGAGTTGTATTCACATTATTCCACGGCAGAGATACGTTAACACAATTACAAACTAACCAGAAAATAAGGAAATGGAAGACTTTGTGTTGCAACAGCTGTGCAGAATCAAATCCAAGATTAAACCAGTAGAAAATGTGTGTTGGCAATTAGCTCAGATAGATAAACGTAAGCTGGTCGTGTAGCTGACCTTGATCCTTCAAGAAGAAATGAATTATCTGCCAACACTTACTGCTTCTCAGGCTTCTGTAGGTCTTCTGGGTTGTATACCTCTGCAGCTCACTCACACAGCTCCTCCAACATGACAGTCTGCAGGCTGCCACAGCAATACTTTGGGATTTGAGCTCTTTTAATAGCAGCACAGCTGAGTCAGTTATTTTCCACGTGTGTTGTCGACATGGTATGTGTAAAGTGACATGAGAGTGGCAGGGGGTTCTGCAGGGTAAGAGAGGGGTTTCCATTGGGAACATTTTCAGGTAATGTTCTTGCATTCTAAGGTTTTATGTATATAAAGTCCATTTTATTTATATTTTGACTTGTGTCACTACAGAAAATGCAAAATGAGGCAAAGATTATTTTTGACAAAAACATATATCATATAACAGTATTAAATATTTCAAAATATGATAGGAAAAAACTATATAGAAAAAAAATCTTATTAAAATGCTTATAATACAAATAATTGTTGGGAATCTGAAATAAAAGTGTACTTGTTAACGACACAATCTGAACTTTCAAATAAAGAGGAACACATAATGTTTGTGACTATACTTTTTTAAAGACTAACCTGACAAGCATGGATGTGCAGTATAGTAGTATCTTGTGTGTTTGTATTCAATTCTATTCTTGACAGGATTATTGATTAAAGTACGATAATATGTGGCTGGTACAAAATCAACTATTTGTATTTATGAATGATCTCCTCTTAATATAAATATTATTTATAGTATTTTGTATGTATTTTTTCTCATTTATTATTATTTTTGTTTGCTAAATACCTGCTTTTTTATTGTAAAATGCTATTGGATTGTTGTATACCAATGAACAAGTATGGATCAAATGAGTCAAAGAATACATTTTATTTTGAAGGTTATAACCGGATGTAGTTTATATACACTAGCTCTGTTTTGACACCTGGGATTTTTGAGTGCTTTTGCTGCACTGACACTCAGCGGGCTGGTTGGTTAATCTTCCCCCTCAGAAAGTGAAAGGCCTGCAATATATATTTATACACCGTGACAACCGGTACAATGTCGGATTTCGAAGAATTTGAGAAACAGCTCAGCGAAAATCGACAGGGTAAGAACTAACTGTGCCCCAATTTGGTCCACAAGCTAGCATAGTGCAAAACGTTAGCCCCCGTAAATGAATGAATGACCCGAGCTGACAGCAACTTTAGAGTGTACTTTCCCCACAACATGACTCGGCTAATTTATGTTAACATAATTAACATGTAGCTTCAAGATGCCAGTTATCTCATCCCCATCCTTAAGCCACTATAGAGCCTTTGGTAAATTGACTTACATCACTGAAGGCATTCTGGTTCCGCTGAGAACTTACCTGACATATTTATATGTTTTTTCTAGTCTGCGAAACAGCTACAAGCGAAACTCCATCACATTATTTCAACTTTTAAATTTCTATCCCCTCCTGTAAAGAAAGGTACTTGTAGAATTAAAATACGTTAACTTTTTCTTAACTATTTTGTTGTACTTTTCTATTCTGAAACCATTATTATCGACCGATTGTCGATTACCAATGATCGAATGTAATTGTTTGCCTGACTGGCCATCGTAATCGAGCTCTTTGAGGATCCAAAAATCCACAGTTTTCCCAAAAAATTTATCAGATGGGCAAAAACTTCAGAATTTGTATTGACCGCCATTCAAATGACAGCGTTGTTTTCCCCAAAAAGTGGGCGGGGCCGTAATTTTTGCCCGGAAGTGACGTAGGTGTTACTCTCATCTAAGTCTCTTCAGTGCGCATGTCACAAAACGAGATGCATTGTGGGACATGTAGTTTATGGACAACCTGCTTCTGTAAAGTGGCATGTAACCGTATAATAAACGTATTATATTCTTTGCAAGCTCTTGCGGGGCCACATCAAATCAAGTCGCGGACCGGATTTGGCCCCCGGGTCTTGAGTTTGAAACCCCTGATAGATGCGTTCAATAAGTATTCAATACCCTTAAAGGTGGAGGAATATTATTATTAAATGTCATGTGCACACGATGACAATATGTGATTTAATGTCCTACAAGTAAAATAATAACAAAAATGAAGGGACTTCCTTTTCCCAAATTACAGTTGAATTATTCTTATTGTTGACCTCATGGTAACTTCAAGATTTAACCGTTTTTTGCGAGTGAGAAGCAAAATGATAACACAGCATACAACATACCATATATTGTAGGTTAAACAAATAATAATCACAGTTGTTGGAGGGGGACAATATTCGAAAAAAGAAAAAAAAGAATCTTGAAATGAACAAGAACCAAATAGTACATTTACAAGAAAATTAACTTGGATATTCTCTGAGGTTATAAATATGTACATTTGCAAAACATTGAAAGAAACATTCAAATGAAATACAGATTACTGGAAAAAACATACACATCTTGAATATTCCCTTTTAATGATTGTTATGTTTTACATTTGTGTGAAAATATTCTCTTTAGTTAAAATAATTAAGTTAAAAAAACATTATTTATCTGAATTGTACCTCCATCCCTGGCTCTGTAATTATAATGTGTTTAAACATCAGTGGCCGTAATACGTCTCCAGAGAAGGATTATTACAGTTTTTGCCTATTATTTTTCTGTCAGTGGTTGAATCAATTGATTTTCTCAGCTCTTCTACATGCAGTATTATCAAGTGTATTACCAGATGTATAATAATGATTTATTGCTGCTGAACAGAGAGAGAAAGACACAAAAAGAGGAGTCGCAGTGAATCTACCGGCCGAGCTGACAAGCACCGCAGCTGGAGCAAAGACAGAGGGAGCCGCAGCCGAGAGAAGAGGAGCCGCAGCCGAGAGAAGAGGAGCCGCAGCCGAGAGCGAAAGAGCCGCGACCGCCGGAGCTCATCCCGGGACCACAAGAAGCACAGGTCAGGAGGAAGCTGCAGAAACACTAACGAGCTGTGAACTTTACAGTGTGTAGTACCTGAGTGAATGCTTTACAGCAGGGGTGTCCTAACGTTTTTCACCAAGGGCCACATACAGAAACATATACGAATGTCTGGGCCACTCACTTGAGGTATATTGCCTCATAAGTTCAGTTATACTGTAAGTAAGCAAAATCAATCAAATGTAGGTAGATGATGCTTGTGAGTGTTGGCAGCTCATCCCTTAAAACAGAAGCCTCAGATTGATTATGATAAGAAGAAATAGGAAGGGTGTATTTCAAGCTGTATTTTCAACTACGATATGTTAGAAAATGTTTCCAACTTTAATTGACTGCATTTATTTTAAAAGTGGTCTTACATGAACAAGTACAATATAATACAAGCACAAGTTTCATTTGTGGGCCATATTCTATTATACTTTTTTAATTTGCCGAGGGCCGATTTAAAATGGTCCGCGGGCCGTAGTTTGGACACCCCAGCTTTACATTGTAAAAGCATTCACTATACTTGAGTTTATATATACTATACTATACTTTAGTTTAGCAGAAATGGGAAGTAACTAAGTACATTTACTCAAGTATTGTACTTAACTAGATTTTTGAGGTACATGTACTTTACTTGAGTATTTCCATTTACTGCTACTTTGTAATTCTAGTCCACTGCAATTAAGAGGTAAATCCATAGGGTAAATCGCGTACTTTGACTCCACTACATTAACTTAATACTTTTAGTTACTTTACAGATTTGAAAGACTTTTTTGTGAGCACACAGCACACACAGTGAAATGTGTTCTCTGCTTTTAACCCATCCTAGTACCAGGAGTCTAGTACTAGGAGCAGTGGGCAGCTATTGTACAGCGCCCGGGGAGCAATGGGAGTGAGGGGGTTGGGGGTGTCCAGTGCCTTGCTCAAGGGCCCAGGAGGTGAACTGGGACCTCTCCAAGTAGCAGTCCACACTCCATATTTAGGTCTGGTTGGGGACTTCAACCGACGACCCTACGGCTCACAGTCCAAGCCCCTACTGACTGAGCCACTGCTAATACTTGTACTTTGAATTGAGTAACATTTTGAACTCAGGACTTTCACTTGTAACAGAGTATTCCTACTCTCTGGCACGTCTCGTACGAGATTTAGGTACTTGTACCTTACGCCACTTTATGCCTTTACTCCTTTACACGAATATCAGAGGGAAATACTTTTGTCTTCAGAATGTATCCAAAAGCTCAGGTAACGGATTACTTTACAAATGTTTGCAAAAAAAAGGCATTTGAAGCGATGAGTTGATACATTTTTTACAAAAATAAATAATTAGCAGCAAAAAACCTGAAGTTAATCCAGCTTCTCAAAAATGTGAGGATTTGCTTTTTTTCCTTCTTAGTTATTTTTATGTATTAGTAGCATTGAGGTTTGGAACAACACATATTTTGAGTTTGTGGTGACACGTTATGGGACATAATTCACCGTTGGGTATATTGTGTGTTGCAACACGGACCTGTTAGTGAGGGTACCGTGTTGTGGTGTTCATGCTAGCTTGACAGTAGCAACGAGGAGATGTACTTACCTTGTCTTGAAATAAAGTGTGGAGTTCCATACTGAACACACCGCCTCTGACTCCCTTTCATCGGCTCTACAAGTGTTTCTTTGGACTCTTTGTAAACCTGACCTGACCTGACCTGCATAATAATCTCTTGATATCTTATATAATAGTTCAACAGAAACAATCTGGGACATCTTCTCTCTTATTATCCCTGATAATACTTAAATACTTCTACTTACATTTTAAATGCAGTACTTTTATTTCTCACAGAAATTGTTTATAGTGTGATAATCATACTTTTATTTAAGCTTGTCCATTCACTCTCACTCGTGTTTACTTAAACACACACTTCTCTGTGTGAACATTAAACGTTATGTTTCCGTGTCTCTGCAGCCACTCCCCCAGGAGAACCAGGAAGAAAAGGACCTGCAAATATTGGGATGTGCCTCCTCCTGGCTTTGAACACATCACACCAATGCAATATAAAGCTATGCAAGGTACTTATCATATTATTTAAAAAAAATGTTTTCAGACCTATAACTTCAAGGAGTAATAATATTTTACAGCCTTTATCCAGACCTGAACGTGGCTAATTCTGCTTCCAAAAGGGGTTATAATTATCACAATTCTTGAAACAGTTTAACGGCCGGCGAGGCTTTTTTTTTTTTTTCTCACGACACTGTGTCTCAGGGCTTCTTAACATTTAAAAATAGAAATCATACCATCCTAACGGGAAGAAACTCAGCTATCTGATGATATGAACCATTTGTACCGAAACAAAACACAAGTCTCACAAGAAGGGTCTAAATGAGCCCTGAGCGAAAACATGCTAACGCACTTAGCACAGAACTCTAGGTATAAATCGATCTATATACTTATCGGATCTGCACAAACCAGCTTAGCTAACATCCTGAGATTCCACAGATTCTAGAAGTATAAGTATCATCACTGAGCGATCAGAACTTGTGACAGGGGAAGCAAATACAGACAACACACGACGTAGCTTTAGGTAGCAAAACACGGAAATATGCTCACTTTAGCTGTTATTCTGATCAAAAGTTCTGTTCAATGGCATTACAACGAAAAAAACGCGGCTGAAGGTTAATCCATATTTTAATCCAATGTGTCTGTCACTTATAAAAAAGTATTGATAATCCATATTTTCAGTTTATATCAGTGTGACATACACTTCCAAGGGATGTAAATGCTCCTGCACATAGCCTACCGTAGTGTTTAAATAAGTCAATATGATTGAAGTAAAAGAAAAAAGGTGTTCTGTTCACAACCTGCCAGAGAACCTCTGTTTTTCAGTTTTCTTCAGTATCAAAGTAATCCAGCGATAGTTGTCTTCATATCCAGGGGTGCATAGCAAGTACAACACAAATGACGAAAAGTTAAACAAAGAATCGAAACATGAGTGACTAAAACCATTAATTCCAACTTTTTTCATGTTGCACTATCAATACATTTTTCGGTATAAATTCTTATAATCTCATTACACTGACACTCTTTATATTCACATTTAATATTCATATACGGTAGTAATATTATTGCAAATGGATCAATGATGCACAGTAAAAGGATTTTCAACAGGCCAATTTTAAAATACAAAAAATTAGAACATCTATTTAGATTTCTTCCACATTAAAATGGTTGTGTACGCATACATTCATATTAAAATTCTTATTTGGGGGATTTAAGTGTTTTTCATTAATAGGATGTGTCCTAAAAAATGTGATGTGCTGGGACCATCATTTGGATTAAAAAAAAATCCGTAACAATTTTTAACAAGCTCTGTTATCTTTAGTATTTAAATGTATTTAGAGATTTTGTTAGAAGTGATCTTTCATTTGATACTATTTATATCCATTATTATTCAAAAAAACATAATTTAGGATTCTGCAGGGGTTTTCTGGGGTCGAAAAAAATAAAAATAATAACCCTTTTATTTAAAGTAGAGACCAGCAAGTAAATAGTTTGAAACACTGGTTGAAACACCAAACACTTTAATTTATTTGCAGTTTTCTCTGAAAGACGGAGGAGACTTTGCAGAAGTTAAGAGTTTTTTAGCTGAAGTTTCTCACTCCATCCCTCAGCGGCCGGGCAGATACCAACCATCGCTCTGCTGGCGACCTCCACCAGCGGCGGCTTGGCTTCAGCTCCGACGCAAGTGCCCATCGTCGGCAGCCAGATGACCAGACAGGCCAGACGCCTCTATGTAGGAAACATTCCCTTTGGAGTAACTGAGGTAAAGTGTCTACTGTTTCTTTGACTTCCTGATTCGTATGTGCTTTTTACACCAAACACTGATATGTTCATGTTGTTTGCAGCCATGCTGTTTATTCTCTTCCTCCCCAGGAGTCCATGGCCGAGTTCTTTAACGCTCAGATGAGACTCGCCGGCCTCTCACAAGCCCCGAGCAACCCGGTCCTGGCTGTGCAGATCAATCAGGACAAAAACTTCGCTTTCCTAGAGGTACATGTTGCCAATCTATGGCATATAGGTCATTGTAAGTAAAACATTTGACAAGAAGTTGTACATTTACTACATTTAAAGGTATAGATTTACATAAAATCCCCAAATCAAAGGAAAGAAGTGTTAAAGTTTAGAGCAACCTCATTACACCACAAATATATGACGTTATATTCTCACAGTTTCTAAGTAATTGAATCTCTAATAAGAACATAATAAATCAAAGTCAGTAAATCAAAGTTATTTTGTCCTTGTTCTCTATATTTCACACATAACTATAAGATTTCATTGTGTTACTACTTTTTGTAATCTTTATTATCTTAAAATTACGATTATTGGAGTTCACATACCCTGTCTCCCAAATATTGTATTGTTGAATGATAATTCTTCTCTTGACCTACAGAAACATCAGAAAAGGGTGCTTTTCTCTGGTCTAACAGCAGCCAAAAAAATAATAGTAATACGATGGAAACCCCCACATACTTTATTTATTAAGCAATGGATATCATCCTTCCATGACCTACTAATCTCAGAGCTGTCAATCGCTTCTGCTAATAAGGCTAAGGGGGAAACATTAGAGGCTATTCAAAGAGCTGCTGATCAGGTAATATCATTCATGTAAATGATGATTGTACATATACGCACACCTTGGTGCAATTGTAGATTATTAGGAGTTAATCGCAATTCAGCTTAAACAGAGGAAATGTTATGTGGAGAAAAAAAAAAGGTATGAATGTATTTTATGTGGATAAATTGTTATGCTATAAATTGTTATGCTATAAATTGTAATGCTATTATATAAATAATATATATAATATATATATGAACTCAGACGATTGCTAAAAAAACATCAGGTAGGATTTTCTGTGAAATGGCAAGATGGGTGGGAAGAGGGGGGGATGGGGTGGCATGGGAAAGGGATTCCCTATTTTTTTTTCTTTCTTTGTCTTTTCTTTTTCTTTTTGTATTGTCTATAATATTGTTTATATAATTTGTATCTGTATAAGTCCCTTTTGTGAGGGGAAAAAAACCCAACAACAATAAAAAGTTGGTCAAAAAAAAAAAATTATGATTAATAAATTACTAAATTGTTTACCACCATTGTATCAATGTACAAGGAAAATTCCGGTTTGTAAAACTTATTTAAAAATATGAATGTACAAGAAATACAGACAAAATAACCGTTTAAAAAACAAGACGCATATTAAACATTCTCCACACAAATAAACATAACTGTAATGTTACTTTTGTGAATAAAATAAATAAATAATCATCACATTATGTGATCATAAGAAAAATAAAATAAAATATGCCAGATGTGCCAGTATCAAATGATTTTCCTTTTACAGTTTCGGTCTGTAGATGAGACGACACAGGCGATGGCCTTCGATGGAATCATTTTTCAGGGTCAATCACTGAAGATCAGAAGACCTCACGACTACCGGCCTCTGCCTGGAAACTCAGAGCAGCCGGCTTTCCACGTCCCAGGTTTGTTACCATTGTAACATTAAGTAATGTCAGCTCATCGGTTTATCATTCACTTGTGAGAGTAACGCATTGCGAATTGTCGCTTTAAGTCTGTTGTGAATGTACCATAAGGGTAAGGACATCTCCAAGCGGTTGACCAATCACAACAGAGCCAGCCAACTCACCAATCAGAGCAGACTGGGCTCTGGTTTCAGACAGAGGGTGAAAAGGGGTGCTGCAGCAATAGGGCCCATTTAAAAAATGTTTTCTGAAATATGAAATGTATTTTGTTGTTGTTTTGTTCTCTGCAGGCGTTGTCTCCACAGTCGTACCTGATTCTCCCCACAAACTGTTTATAGGAGGCCTGCCCAACTACCTTAATGATGACCAGGTATTTCCCTGAGAACAGATTGAACAGGCACAATCATGTTTCCTTATTCTCACACTTGCGGAGGCTTTTCTTTGTCACACTATAAACATGCACAAAATATGTCATACATTTCCTTATTAAATCAAGAACCCAAAACGTTGTTATGGTAGAGAAAAAAAGCCAGAAACAGAACGTGACCCCAGAAAAGAATCCCTAAAAATCATCATAATAAATCATAAGTAGTTTCATATTAAATGGATTGTATTTGTGTTGTAGAAGTATTAACAATGGACCAATTCTCAAGATAATTAATACCAACATTAAACTATGATATCACAATAATCAACTTGTGTCATTTATTACATGAATACTAGCATTTAAGATGGCTTTTTGTGACAAAGTAAACTGCTTATACCTTTCTCATGTTAAGCACACTGGTTAAAGAAAGGTAAGCAAAGTCCAGTATATTTACACAAAAGGCTGATAAACTGATATTTATATTTATTTCTGCATTTGGCCTCAATATTGGCCTTGAGTCCATATTGTCAAAGAAAAAGTCCACCTTTTTTCTTGAATTTTTTTGATAATTAATTTTAGTATCTTACCAACTGTGAATATTTCCTTATTGCTGAAGTTAGCAAACTTTGATGGCTCTTCTAAATAAGTAATCGATTTATATCAAAGAAAAGTGTTTTTTGTTTTCGATAAATCAGCAATGAATGGAAAGCCCCTGTTCATACAGTAGCAAGGTACACCATATTTACTGGTTCTTCAAAAACCCACCGTTAAGCGCTGCCGGAAGATAACGAAATACTCCGAATAAATAAAATATTGCAGTATTGGAATGTAAGGTGGAGAAAAGGCAGATTTAAAAACAGGTCGCTTAAACAGAAATGTGCAATATCATCCTTTTGAAAAATCTAGTTGAACTTTTCCTTTGACAGTATAAAAAGTGAAAGTACAAATGTTCTCATAAGTACTAATACTCTGAAGGTTTCCACAGCTCCATCTTTGCTCTCAGCTGTGCAGATGATTTCCATTTCCACAGTGAATTGAATGATGTCTCTCTAACTCTAACTAGCTGTCATGTGACCGATGTATATTCTTGACTTCTATTTTTGATCTAACTCTTGCAGTCTCTTGCCACTGCATTGATACTCACAGCTCTTTCATTTTTGTTCCCCCACTTTGTCCCCAGCTAGGGGCCTGTAAGATCGTTAAGTCTGCGCTCATAATTTGTTCAGTAGTTCTCATCTACTGCTGCCATGCCAACATGTAACACAAGGCAAGTAAAGACATCCTGGTCCCCACAGGATACACTCCCTGCCAGCAGGCTACTTCCTGTCTCCCATCATGCATTTGGAGCGCGTTTCGTGGGGGTTAATCATTAGTTTTGTATGGGGAGGGGGGTTTATTCAGCGTTTAATATAAAGGTAAGAAAACACATTTTCCAAGTGTTATGTTCTAATGAATAACAAAGTTCTTTTTGTATTTACCTTGCACCATTTTGTGGAAAAGATTACTTTGAATATAAATTTATTACAGCTTATTTTATATACCGGTAATTTGCATATTCACTAAATGTTGTGATTTATTTGCCTGAAACTGGAAAAATTAATACTTTTTTAATCTAAATAAAATCATTTTTCTGTTACCTTCCAACATTTCTCGGGAGAAAAACTAATTTTAATATTAGATAAATGTTACCCTGTTCCCGCATTATTTGCGTCCAACCGTTGTGCCTGTACAGTAGCTGGTTAAATGCATTTCAACGATTTCAACTCAATCTAATTAAGATCACTTTTGGTTTACTTCGCACCATTTTCTGTGATGTATTATTTCTTGAGGGATTCATACCTTTTTGGTCAATTCAGTCTACGAGCTGTTTTGGTTTTCTGTGTTCATGTGACTATAGTGTGTATACTGTATGTGTGTGTTTGACTGTACGTGTTTGGACCCCAGGAATAATATTGCTAACGCTAATGTGGATCCTAAACCTTTAAAATCCCAAAAGAAATGAACATTTGAATGCAGTGTAAAGTCTACTTAACTGCATACATGTCATTTGCAGTAATCACTTTATCTATTGGATTGTGATGTGATGCTTTTAGGTATCAAATGGATCACTTCCTGCATGTTCTCTTTGTAATATCAGTCGTCCTGCGCTCTTGGCTGTTTGCAGGTGAAGGAGCTCCTGACGTCGTTCGGGCCTCTCAAAGCGTTTAATCTGGTGAAGGACAGCGCCACCTCGCTATCTAAGGGTTACGCCTTTTGCGAATATGTCGATATCAGCGCTACAGATCAGGTAATTATAGTCTTCTATGTGTCGGATTATATACTGTGTCGTTTTTTACTTTAACGTGTGTGTTTTCTCTGTCAGGCAGTAGCTGGGCTCAATGGGATGCAACTGGGCGACAAAAAGCTGGTAGTCCAAAGAGCGAGTGTGGGTGCTAAAAACGCAAATACTGTGAGTCAATGAAACTCTTTTACTTCTTTAAGGCCCTGATGGAGATTAGGTATGTATTTTTGTATGGTTATAAATCCGGCGCTTCCTGGAAAAAGTAAAATATATGGACTGTAAATTAGCAGCTAAATTTAATTATTTGTACCCTTATTTTTCCTGCTGTGACAAATGTATTATGTTGGCATTAAGTAAGTGGTTCCCAGCCCTTGAAAATGACTTGTATACCTCATTTAATACAAATGCATTTAAACTACACGATATGTACACCTATTGTCAGTGAGAACATTTTTATATTCAGACTCACTTTTTTAGTTTGGAAATATATTGCAATCACTAATATTTCTACGTACCCCCTGCAATCTCCTCAAGTACCCCTAGGGGTTGACTTTCCCCCGGTTGGGAACCACTAAAGCAGGGGTGTCAAACTGAAATACACAGTGGGCCAAAATAAAAAATTAAAATCGGTACTAGTCGAGGGCCGGACTGGTTCAATGTTTATTGCAAAACTTATTGAAATGAACTTATTGCACATATTAAACCTGGAACTAACAAAGCTTAAATGGATTTGCCTATTGTTTTAAACATGAAACATTAAATAATCAGTTGCATTCATTTCTTATGGCTCTATCTGCAGCTTTTCCGGAGTCATTTCTTATGATTACATTTTTCCACAGGCCAACAACAGCTTCAATAAAACTATTTCCCTCAAAGAACAAACCAAACATGCCCTGTTGTCTCAAGAAAAAAAGTGCAAAAGGAAACATCCACGTAAACTCAGTGTGCTGCTCTGTGATGCTAGTTCAAGCCAGATACTTGGCATCTCATCTTGGGTGCAAGGTCATCAATGTTTGGGCTCAGGCTCTGAGCTGAGGAAACCCTCAGGCCGAAAGTAAATTCACCAAGGGCCTGATTTGGCCGGCGGGCCATATCTAATAGTAATTACAAATTATCCTGCGGGCCGAAATTAAATCCACCAAGGGCCTGATTTGTCCCCCGGGCCTTCAGTTTGACACATGTGCGTTAAAGTATACATGGTAAACAAACAAGATCAACATGAATACATAAACAAGCAGGGAGTGCATGGCAGGAAGCAGCAGGCTTTATGGGAAATATATTCTAATATATTTGCTTTAAGTCAGAGAATGGAGACTGAAGTGTTCCCTGATGTGTGCGACTCCTCCAGACCTCCATCATCGAGACCCCGGTGACGCTGCAGGTCCCCGGCCTGCAGAGGCTGCAGAACTCTGGCCTGCCCACGGAGGTGCTGTGCCTTCTCAACATGGTGATGCCCGAGGAGCTGGTGGACGACGAGGACTACGAGGAGATCCTGGAGGACATCCGAGAAGAATGCTGCAAGTACGGCAGCGTGCGCTCCATCGAGATCCCCCGACCCGTGGATGGGGTGGAGGTCCCCGGCTGTGGGAAGGTACTAGTTTAGACTTTATACCAGTTATTATCATACCTGTTACATTTTTCTTACAAAGCCAGCACTTCGATTTCTGCCTTCCTCGTTCTGCTCTGGCAAAGCACAGTGTAGGTTATCTCCTTCAATCTGACCACTCACTGCCTTGCTTTTCATTTTCAAACTGGAAACAATTATATAAAATAGTTTCTGAGGCTTCCATTATCCATATGTTTGTAATTTGAACCTAATGCATCAGAGCTCTGTTAAAGGGGTTCTGTAATATTGGGTTTAATATTAAATAAATAAATACATTAAAGAATAGATCTCTTTGAAATGTATTAATATCGCTGTTTATATGCAAAGTCGATGAAGGGGGCAATAAATAAAACCTAGAGAATAATACAAAATATAATATAAATTAATAGTTTAATAAAAACAAATATTACAAACATGCATATTTTCAAAACAACAAGGACTACATTTATATATTTTATTGGAAATTATATTTCATAATGCAACATTTATTTCCCTTTTATTTATTTATATGTTTTTTTTCTGAATGAATAGGGCATGGTTTTCTCACAGATTCAGACCAATGCATCATTATTTAAATGCTTATTTCCTCTCTTATTTAGTTACTTATCTCATTTGTTTTCCCTCCAGATCTTTGTGGAGTATGTTTCTGCTGCAGACGGTCAGAAAGCCATGCAAGCCCTCACCGGCCGCAAGTTTGCCAACAGAGTGGTGGTCACCAAATACTACGATCCGGACCAGTATCACAGACACGAGTTCTGAAAGCACAGGAGAATCCTTCTTTCTGTTTGTGAAAGGAGAATTCTGTTCAGGCGGTTTCTTTACCTAAGAAAATACTTATTTTATTACATCTTCTACCTAACAAACTGGACTGAAGTGTGTATTTCTTCACCGAATATCTAACTCCTAGCTTTAGCTTCAACACCTGAACTGAAATGAGTGAATACAAAATAATACTGCAGTTTCTAGGGATGTCACGATGCCAGATATTTAGTAGTGGATAACTATACCAATGAAATTCCGCAATCTTGATACCTAATGTGTAATTGTATTGTATGTGTTATTGTTATATACTAAGGGGCTGGAAATTTGACACATTGACTCATCTCTATACGGTTGACCAATCACAACAGAGCTGGCAAAAACAACATTTTAAAAGACCTTTTTTGAACACATCATGACAACGATTTGATTTACCTTCGTTGATTTATTCATTTTGAACGCTTCACAGTGAAACTCTATGGCCCTTCCACTAAACCGGCTGCTAACAGCAAACATGAACTAATCGTTCTTCCAAAATGAGTGCTAGTGATTTAATGAACACCTCTTTCAACAGTACCCTAATTTCTGTACTTTCATACGATCAAAATGCTTGCATCAACTTGGTACCTATGTATCTGTTCTTGTGACATCCCTATCAATATCCATTACATTTGTAGTAGAATGAATGTGACATGTATCTTATCTAATACTGCCTGACGATGCCAGAGTAGCTGTCTTATGGAGTATGCACTATATGAGAAAAAACAGTCAAATGTTTAGATATCCCTACTGAGCACAAACATTCATTTCACTGTTTTCGATTTGAAAAGCCATCATAAATGTTTATTGTGTGGCTTTGACAGAAAAAAAAAGTTTTTATTTATTTTTTGAAAAGTCATATTTTCGTCTTTACGTAATATTAGTCATTAACCATATACAACTCTATTACACTGCTCACATAGAATACAGGGCTGTACTGAGCAGTTCAAAACTAAAATGCTACATTCAAATATTAAATTAACATTTGAATGCTGCAAAGGTTTTTTTTATTTTTTTTATGTCTTTTCATTTACTTTAAAGCTGATATGTGTTCAAGGTTGCAGATAAATATTGGTTTTATTATACTTTGTGTATAATTGATTCCAGTAGTGGTTGCATTGCACTGCCTCAACTCCAAACATTTTATATAACACATTTTTATCCAACCAAATAATCTGCTTCAATCCATATTTGTTTGTGTTGCAAGATCAACATTTTGACTTTGGTCCAAACCTTTTTTTGCTTTCCTACTTGCTGCACACCAATGGTGGTAACAATATTAACCTGTTTTATTGATTCAATTATATGTTATTCAACTAAATGCAATTTCTAACAAAAACATTAAATTGTCCTTGCTTTTCATGGTGACGATGTAATAAAAATATGTGACAATATATTTAAAACCTCAATAGAAGCTTCACATTTTTTTTAAAGATGGCATTCGGTACAACCCTAACTAAATCTAAACGTAATCTTTTTTAAACATTTTGACGGTAATGGGGTAAATGTGTGTTTTGTCACTTGAGTCAGAAATCAAGGGCTTTTTGTGTCAAATATGACTTTAAAGAAAAGCAAATTGGTAAACAGCTTCCGTTGGTCTAATAAAAAAAACTAAGCAGCATATGTTAATAAATGCACCTTTAAGTTTTGTTGATCGCAAACTGAATGACTTTTTTCAAAAACATTTATTCTTTTTGTGAACGATCAAAGAAAATGGATCCAATGAAAGCATTAATGTATTATTAGAAAATAACTTATGCTTGAAAAGTGCAAGCGCAAACATCCCAAATGATTTGTCTGATATCGGGATGTGAGATAATGTTCTGTTGCAGAGTTACCACATTATGTTTTAGTGCAATAAATATCACAGATCATAAAAAGCCACTCTTTCATATATATTTTTGAATGGCCAAGAATTTAAAAACATTTTTATTTTGTACAAATTCAGCCACTGCCATTGCCTTGAGTACATGCTTCCGTCCACTGTCAGTCTGACTGCGAGTAATCCTTTTGTGCATTATGATTGGATCAGTTATGGCTGGTTATTGATGTATTTAAAATGTGTAAATATGTATTCAAATACCTAGTTGTTTTATCACAGAGGTCCCTCTATTATCTTTTATTAACATCTTAAGTCATATCCGTTTACATTTACTCACCTTCTCTTATTATTCATTTATTTAACAGAAGTCATTATGTGATGTTTTAGAATCACAGCTTTTTGTTTTATTCTGAAAAGTATTACCGGTAGTAAGTATTTATGTTTTATTTTAGTTATGGATACATGTTTAACAAATTGTTATAATTAGTAAATATGTTTTATCCACTTCCGTCGATAAACTTGTTTAATTTAAAATGGTGTTACCAGAGGTGACAGTACGTCAATGCTTGTTGGATCATTAATTAGCCTTCCCTGCCCTCTATTGGTCCTAATAAGGCACTGCAAAACTACATTAAAGGGGTACTTTTTACGTAATTTTGTTATGTTGTTGTTTAAAACCCTCCTATTGTCTTTGTTTCCCCCCCTTTACTTTGATGTTAGCGGTCCTGTTTTAACTGCTATTACATTAACACAAAAACCATTAATCATCAACAAATTTCCTTTAACACCCTTTCAAACTGTACATATTGTATCAGACTACTGGTACACATGAAAAACTGCAGTAAATATACAAATAATAGACACTGAACATGTATTGCGTGTGCCAGGTGTGATCCATGTGGGGGGATGGGCACATAAGAGCGGGAAATTTGTCAAATTGGTGTGTGTGTGTGTGTGTGTGTGTGTGTGTGTGTGTGTGTGTGTGTGTGTGTGTGTGTGTGTGTGTGTGTGTGTGTGTGTGTGTGTGTGTGTGTGTGTGTGTGTGTGTGTGTGTGTGTGTGTGTGTGTGTGTGTGTGTGTGTGTGTGTGTGTGTGCCAAGTGTGATTCACATGAGGGGATTGGGCACGTAAGGGGGGGGAACACATCTAGAGTATGTGTGGGTGTTTGTGTGGGTGTTTTTTGTGTCTGATCCGGATGGTTACTAATTCCTTTTCTTTATGGCGGTCATTTTTGACTGGGAACACCATGGGTGTTACAGAGTTGACTAAATCATCCAAAATTCAATGAAAGTGGTGGTAAGCAATTTTATATGTTGAAATGTCTACTGTGAAGGATATCATAAAGCCTTAATGCAACCGAATCTAAAACAAAAAAGTTATGATTGATGAAAGTAGTAAATCGGTCAGATTTGACCCGAAGACAACAGGAGGGTTAAAATGCTTAGCCATAGTTAGTGGCATTTTGGAGAAACAGACAGGAGTACCAGCAGGAAGATAAACAATGACCTGCTGATAATGGGGGAGAGGCACACAAAAGTATTTTAGCCACCTGGAAAAATATGTATTTGAACACCTATGACCTTTACATGTTATGTTGTCACTTTTGTATTGACTGTTGTATATAGACTGCAACACACTTACATTTCTACATTTTTTCCTTTCAATTGTATTTTCTTTCATTGTATTAGTTCTAAATGTGAAAATATGTTAACTAAAATAAACAAAGTAATCAATAACATATTGATTTGTCCTTGGTAACTTGATGTATATTCTTATTTTTATTTATGTATTCTAGAGAAAGTTTTATTTTGAAGATTGTGACCGGATGTTGTTTGGATGTACCGCGTCAGATGACCCGCCCATGACGATAGAGAGTCAACAGTTTGACAGATGTTGGTTCAGGATCACCATTCAATGCCAAAAATCGCAGGAGGGAGTGCGGGTTGTTTGTGGATTACTCTGCAGCACAGGAGCGAAACATGTCGGGAGAAAAAGGGACGAACCCGTGCAACAAATTTCAAGCCAACATCTTTAATAAAAGTAAATGTCAAAACTGCTTCAAGTCCCGCGAGCTGCATCTGCTGAACGACCATGACATGGAGCAGGTAACGTTACACTTGTATTAATATCATTAATGCGACACCACACTTAGTCAATTCTTTAAAAAAAGTAAAACTGCCTTTCTAACAGATTAAAATATGTGATATTTTGAAATGTTTTCTGTTACTCGTATTCGACGTAGTGGTCTGTTTCTTTTGTTACTAGCATCCTCTTTCTTAACGTTAAACTTTACATTTTTACTTCGGCAATGTTTGTTACTTTTTTCAACAAAAAGGTGGTTTTACCCTAACATTGCTTATTACAATGAAACTGTCACCTCTGTTACAACTCAAAACATATTTTTGTAACTCTTATTTGACATCGTTTTCCAACATAGCCTAACTATTGTATGGATGTTAGCATCCCTAATTGACCGGATGTTTGCTGGTTTCCTTCAATTAATGTTCAATTATTTATCTGTTTAGTCCAAAAAAAGTTAAAAATGCCTAAAAATGTCTGCTTAGTTAGGGACTGTACACAAATGCATTGAGAATAATGATTCAATAAATATATTTAAAATTGAGATTACTACTGTTTTGATTATTTATGTTGTATTTTATTTTATTAATTGTGGAATAAATTGAACCAACCAAGTACCACATGTTGAGATATAAGGGTGTGGATGGTGTTGTTTTTGTTGTCATTAAGTGGGTCTGAGTAAGATATTAATAATGCAAGGTAGGCGGGTCGTTCAAATAAAAAACTGAAATATCAGTTTCGGCCTTCCCTCCTCAGCCTGGTCATTTTTAAACAGTCCCTTAATCCCAGTCAGTTTGGAAGTATTATTGACATCATTTACTTAAGGTTAAACAAGAAGGCAATTAACAACTAGTGAAATTAATCCTTAATTAAAAGCCCAAGAAAAAGCAGTTTAAGTCAAAGAACAGAAGATTTAAAAGCCAAATACATAAAAAATAACAATATAAGTATTTGATCTGTTGACACATGACTCATGTCAGGAATGATTTGACTAACATGTCACGTTTAGTTAATACTGTTGAAGCTACTAGCAAACAAAATGTAAAGTATTACATCTCTTTGAATAAATTATACATTTAGTTAACTTGGGTAATCATCTTGTCTAATATGTAAAAAATAAAGACACATATTTTGCAATCTCAATAGCCCTAGGTGATGTATTCAAATTCCTAGTGATAATTGATTCGTCAAAAGATCAAATGGTTTTGATTCATTTTAAATGTGCCTGCGGCTATAAAAGAGCTATTTGAGATGGTAGAATCTCAAATGTTTTCTCTTTACTGGATATGTCAAATAATAAGGCTGATCAAATATCAAAATGTTTTCTCAATCCTCTTTTTGGCGAAACATTCCAGCAGAATAGACAAGTCTTTGTGCTCACATTAAGTGTCTAAACTCTTGGTTTACCACCTCTGAAAACATTGCTCCTGCAGGTCTGTCATGTGCAGGTGATGTAAGGAGTCCATCATGACGGCTTCCTGCATGCCTCACATTGTTAAAATATGTTATTACTCTCTGTCCCGCTGCCTGGTTTCACTGTGCCCTGTAATTTCAGCACCGTTGCTCAACATTGCACATGGCTTTACCCTCAGCTGTGCACTCAGAGAAAAAGCTGTCGTGTTGAACACTTTGCGAAACACATACACATACATCACTTTGTTAGAGAAGCATACAGCCAGCGAGTTTTCAGCACAAACAGACAGCAATACAAAAATCAAAGAGGCCTTATCTGACATTTAATAGACCAAACCAAATAAATAATCAGGTTGATTTGTTTTGGTGGTCAACCCAAACAATACTGTATCTGTTTGGGTAGACCACCAAAACAAAAGCTGAAAACCAGCAAAATGAAGTGTCTTCTTGATCAGTTATCTGGGCCACAGCTAGAGATTAGTTTCACTATTGATCAACCTGATTATTCAAATGACTCACATTGTTTCTAAATCACCTCCTAAAACTACCCACATAGATTAGATTTGATCTACTTTGTTGAAACACCTCAGGGAAAATGTGGCTTTGGTTAATCCCAGCAAGGTGAATACAACACATCATAGAAAAATAAACATTAATAACCATAATCGACCGTGAAACAATCAAAAAACAAACAGAAATATATTTAAGTACAGATGGCAGGAACTGGAATATGTTTGATATTTTAGCTGGAATATTTTCATAAACCATTGATTGATTATATATAAACAGTTGTCAATCAATACTGGTGTGTGCTCCAACACCCCAGAGGCTGAATGCTAACTCCACTTTTCTCCAGGCAAAACCCGTCTATGGAGGCTGGCTGTGTTTGGCGCCTGAGGGAACAGATTTTGCCAACCCGATGCAGAGGTCGCGGGTAGGACATGATTACACAAAGCTGAAACACAATTTTTATTTTATACATCTTTATCAGGACTTTTTACTCAAGACAAATGGTGCTGTGGTGATTTTATTTGTCTTGTGTTAATACAGAAATGGCAGCGCCGCTTCTTTATTCTGTATGAAGACGGCAGCCTGAGCTTCGCCCTGGATGAACTGGTAAGTGCTCAGATAGTAACACCATTCCCCAACCCAAACAAAAGTACATGTAGCACTGTACAGTAGGGCTCCATCATGTCATTATTTTGTCTTTTTGGAACAAAAGGTTAAATGTCCCCCTAAAACTATAGTAACATTTATAAAATAACATATTTTTCTACAAGCTGATTAATCAGATTATATCAACTTTTTAAATCAACGTTTAATTCTTCCAAACTGAAGTGGTTTTCAGTATGAAAGTGATGTTGTCTAGATGGAGCACCAGGCATACATGGGAAACTAATATGATATTCTTTTCATTGATACAACTTCAATAATTTACGATATTTGTTTGAGCCAAAATAGATTTTTGGTGAAGTGGTTATATAACTATAATTTGTGGCGCTGTTAGACTTTGTTTTTGACTGACCTTAATACAAATGTTATTTTTAAACCTGAACATGAAACATGTATTTAAGAAGAATATTGGATGTAGAGAAATAAAGGTTGTGAATCATGAAAATGTTATATATTTTTTCAATAAATGTTGACTTTTGGATTTCACATCACTCTGGAATTATTGGAGAAGTTTGGAATCAATTATATACAGTCACCACTGGATTCTAATTCTACAAATTGTTTAGTAATGTTGTTCGGAAATAATGTGCAGAAAATACAGCGTTTAAACACAACGAATAGACATGCACATAAAGTCAAATAAGAAGCTGCCCAGCATTCAAATGTTGGTGAAATGCCATAAAAGAAGCTCAAACTATAGGGTTCAGCCCTTGTGTAAAGTCAAGCCTGCTTTGTACATGCATCTGCATTTACAGTGTGTTGGGATAAAGCAGGCATGTTTAGGCCAGATGTTGTGTGCAGATGATTTGGGCTTAGGCTGTCCTCTAATGCACACATCCCCCACTCTCTGTGATCCTCTCAAATCTCTTGCACTCCACACTTGACACCACAAACTACTCTCTGTTTAACTGTCAGTCATCGTCAGTCGTCCAAGCAAAAACAATACTGCTAAGCCAGATTTCGTAACTAGCTCTCTCCTCTGCTTTCCCCTCAGCCGAGCACTTTGCCTCAGGGGACGGTGAACCTGAATCTGTGTACAAACATCGCTGATGCAGAGCCCAGGACGGGACAGAGGAACGCACTCGGCATTGTCACTCCAGCACAGGAAATATTCATCCGTGGTGACAATAAAGAGATTATTAATGGGTCAGTAAAAAAAGTGTAAAAAAAAGGAAGGAATAAGGTGTCATGGCACAGTAACTAATGACGTGTCTGTGCTGTTTCTATCTTTGTTTACCAGGTGGAGTGATCAGCTCACCGTCTATCTACGGACTGACAAGCCGAATCAGAAGAAGAAACGCAAAGTGGAACCGGTTGCCACCCAGGTAACAAAGCACATGTCAATCAAGCACACGTTGTGTTTTTTCCTGTAGTGCCAATTGATGAACAGGGTACTTGGATATTTGTTTACTAAATGTCTAAGCCACTCATCTTAGCTGTGAAGACATTTCACTGAAAACCTGAAATGTTTACATGCCGGTGCTTCAGGAAAGGTCCGAGGATCTGCAACATGAATGTCCATTCAAATTGGCATTGCTATACATAAAGTGGTTGTTGACGGATTTTGGTCTGGACCAAAGTGGTGCACCAACTATCACTAAAGACGCTAACATTGCTAATACATATCAAACTCTACTGAGCTGATTGCTTTAAAGTTTCAGATTTCCTTCAAGTTCTCCAGAAAATGAGTCCCTTTGCATTTGGCTTTCTAGCACTTTCAAAAAGCTTTTGTTCAATTGTATGAATTTTGTTGTGCTTTTTCTGTGTTTGTGTTTTGAAATAGGGCTACAACTAGAGATCTGCTGACTTTGTTTTCTTAAATTAAATCATTCCTACAAAATGTCAGAAAATATATCACAATGCCACAGCATAAAATAAATATTGCAGCATCAGATTTCAACAATTTCAAACGTTAAATATAAATCAGCAAAAGGAACAAGGACATGGCATTTTTTTCATGAAATGTTTTGCCCTTAGACTAGTTGATTTATTTGATGAGTAATTTCAGCTCTAAATGGAATATCTTTCGATGTTTCGGCTGTTGGACAAATACACCTGTTACCTTGGGCTTCAGGGGATTGAGATCAGCATTAATGAATAAAAGCAAAAGCTTGTCTCAGCATTGTCTTTTTGTTTTTCTATCAAAACATCAGGAACCTAGTCCAGCAAAGATGGCTGCAACTGATCCAAGTCTACCGTCGTCTGAGAACGCTGCAGAGTCCGCTGCAGAGTCCGCTCGGTGGCAGGAAGACCAGCAGCAGGGCGTGGGAGCGGGTGAAACCCCTGTGTGGACTCTCCCAGACTCGGATCCCCTGGAGAAGACCCCTGCAGGTGCAGCAGACGCAAAAACAAACTCACAAACACGCACCCAGGCTTTAATGTCCGTCGGCCAATCATAGCCACTTCCTGTCCTCTCTCTCACTGTCCTAACGTCCTGCAGATGTTCTCACATTTCCAGCTTGTTATTTACACACTTCATTTAAGACACGTTGACCCAGTACTGACTTGTAATCATGGGAAGAAGTTTGAGCAGGAAGTTACATAAAAAAAGACAGACAGAAAGACACACACAGATGTGCAGGACAACATGTGTCTCTAACCTTCAGGCATCATAAAAACCAAACGTGATCCATAAAATACCTCCTAAACACGTCCTAATAGGCTGGATGATTAGCAGCGGGCAGGTATTCCTCTTTGTGCTGCCACAGAGTGGACAGAAGCTCCCATCTGGCGTCAGACTTATTGCAGGGTCTGGAAAGGTCCTGTAATAAAGACTGTGCCTATAGGCTGCTTCATTAGAGCAATGTGGGTCATACACGAGGGGTCCCAATCCAAAAAGGGTTCCCTCTTGTCAATGGGTTCCTGGACCATAATTGTTTCACAAATGTGTTTTGCTTTGTAGTAGAAATCAAACCATGAACCCTTTTGAACAAACTATATAAAACAGACATTTCAAAATGAATCCACTCTGATTTATATCTGGAAACACATAAAAAAAAAAAAAAGTGATAGAATTAGTCGCTTATTTCAGAAAGCCTTTTATCTTAAACATCTATATTTTCATAAAACTGCACTGAATAGTTATTTTACCAATGGATTCCATGTGTGATGCTGCAAGGGCTTACGCACATCGACAAACACAGATAATTATCCCCAAGTTCTGCAGTTGTGAAGTCCCTTTGAGCATCTGTCAGATCACTGTTGTAAGGCACTTTAACCCCTTTCCTGTGGTGTGTTAAATAGGTTTGTGTGCATGTAAATAGTATCCAAAGTACAAACATGTGCCTTTACTTTAAGTCATTTCCCTCTTTTGCCGTTCGACATTTCTTTTGCTATTTTTTATCTATGATTACGTCATTGTAGTTAGCCTCTTCCAATCTTTATTAGCAATTATTTGGTTTGTGGTTCTATCAATGTTAAAAAAGCAAAAGTGAATGTTTATAACCTAAAGAAATACTTACTATTTGCCCTGATCTAGAACAACTCATCAAGCTGCTTCCTCTTCCTATCTTAAAGATAATGTCCTGTACCACAGATACTGCACTGTAATACATTACTATCTTAATCAAACTGTTACCAGGACAAACCCTGGAGGTTTTGCGCCACTGGCCTCGTTGTGAACCCTGACATAATGTGTTGTGTGATTGAAAAAGAATGATTTCACACGGCTTGAATTCCAACTAACTGTGTTCCTGCTCTCGGTTTATTAAAAAGTCTGAAACAGCTTTGTGTTGTTTTCTATATCCAGGCAACGGCTACCTGTGCCCGGTCTCCTTGGACTTGGTGAGCAGTGGAAACACAGAGCCTGGCAGTACCAGCCAGCAGTCTGAGTCAAACAACATCCAAACATCAGCGAACAACAAGAACCAGAGCCAGGACAAAAGGTAATAAAGGAATTGAAGGTCAATTTCCAGCCAATGTTGGATAATAATATGTGTAAAAACCCTTCTATATGTTGTGCTTGGCAGCAGTCAGATGTTGATTTCTTGCTCTCTGTTAGTAACAGCCTCTAAAGTTCCTTGGCAGAGGAAAAGGGGGTAAATGTGCAAGCAATTAGCACAAAGGACATCCAATGCTTCTCTGCTTTCCCCCCCAGTATAAAGCCGAACAGCCATCACACACCGCTAAACACCAGATCAAAGGCTCGTGCTCTACCCCTCTATTAGAGATCACACGGCCGCATTTTTAAACTTAGCTTACACAAACCCTCCCACTTTGTGCCCCAGCAGCATGTAAACTGGTCACGTGAGGAGATTATTCACTCATTGCCTTTTCGGGAAACAAAAAAACCAAATACCCTCCAAATAAGGCCAGAAATTCCAAAACGCTGCTGTAATTAGATATCTGCGGCATTGTTTCTCAGCACTTTAATACTGACTGTCTGCCTGAGAATGTAGACTTCAGCTGGAATCTAGGTTTGAGGGCATAAAGCTGTATAAACCCACCAGAGGCAGAACTCTATTCATAATGTCCTAAGAGAGTCTCAGAGTTCAACATGTTGTGTTTGTTTGTACAGAATGTTAGATTGATTCCAATGGGATTATCTTTCGGGGAAAACTGTTTAAATTACAAGACATACCTCAGGGCAAAAGCAGTTTTACCATCTTTGGCGTGAAATACACAAGGGGACGATTTTAGAGAAAAATATCAAAAACATCTATTAGATCTGACAGAATCACACAACACTCAGGGGTTATTGATTTGACAACCCCCACAAATCTGGCTGCAGGGCGTTATGTATTTGACAAACTTCTTCAAGAACAGATTTTTCAGAAAAAGAGGCGCAACTATGAATGACATAAATATAATTCACTTTTTCGTTTATTCTTAAACGGATATTCAAATGCCAAACATATGTTCATCATAACGCCTTGCCTAAATCTTTCCTAAAAAATAATGAGGAACATGAAGTGCACATACTGTACTGCAAGTGTGAAGATTTAAAGTGCTTTGTGTAACTCTGCCCTGAAGGACTTATTACCCAATACATAAATAAATGGCAGATATTGGCTTGCTGAAACACAGTTAGTTTCCAGATGAATGTGCTCTTTGCTTCTGTGTAGTAAAGAACGTAAGTTGGTGCATTCTCATTTATAACTTGATAAATATATACAAAATCATTAAAAAAAAAACACACTAATAGAGCTTGTTTTAATACTACAAAACATTTCAGGGGGAGATTCCACAAAATCCCGTCAAGCATCAAATCCATTTTTATCTGATTACATTTTTGAATACTTGTTAACGAAATGGCCCCTGTACTCCTGGCATGTTGTAACAGTGGCCATTGGGCAAAGCAAGATGAGTATTTTTATTTCATTTTCCTTTACATTAGGTGAACCCTAACCTCACAGAAAACCATGTTTCCCATCCCCCACAGTATGGGACTCAAAGGGGATTTCTTTACAAATGTTACAGGCATGGTTATGGCAGGTTAAGGCCCTAAAGAGAATATGCTTGCATGTTACAGTGACCCCAATATCAGCCAAAACAAATTATGGTAAATTCTTCTATGTTTTTATACACCTGAAGAAGCCTGGATTCAATCCTCAATCATGTATTTTGAAACATCAAACAATGATTAGAAACAATAGTGACTTCTAATAATCATCTAAAGGATAATAGGAGGGTCAAATATTCTAAATAATGAGATTTGAAAGGTTACGTTGTGTTTTGTATGTTAATAATGAATACTCTTTTTAGCAGCAAAGCTAACACATGTGCTAACAAGAAACAGCTTTTGAGTGATATCTCTGTTCTCTCTCTCTACTATTAGTTGATGGATTGCTACGAAATTTGGTTCAGACATTTATGTTCCCCTCAGGATGAATTGTAATAAATGTGGTGTTCCTCTTACTTTTCATCTTGCGCCGCCATCAGTTTGTTGAATACTTTGATTTATGATCAAATTCCCACAAAACTAATGACATTCCAACAGCCTCAACTCTTCTTTGTGCTTTTTAATTAAATGTTAGCTTGCTATGATGCTAAACGATATGTGGAATGTTATATCTGCCGTACAACAGGATGTTATCTAGTTTCTTATTAGCAACAATAGCAGTGTTGACTCTCAGAAAAAGGATATTCTCTGCTGCACAGGTGCTGTTTGGAGCCTGTTATCAAGCTGTCATCGTCGTGTTCATGTTGATGGAAATGATGTCAGAAACCACCCGTGTGTTAGCGAGGTCAGGGAAGCCTCATGCTTTTCACTCATTAGTTGGTGATATTTTCCAGCCATGGCAGGTCAACAGAAAGGCTGCTGGGATTGGAGGCCAGCGAGAAAGAAGGAGCGAGGACAGCTGTTTCCAGGACGGGAAGGAGTGAAGCTCGCAGCAACCACCGAGAGGTAAGCACACCAAGTACTTATAATATAGTGTACTATCAAGTATCAACCCTACACAGGTAAACCATACATTTATTTTCTGACACCCACATGCCACATAAGATGTCACCACAGACATTTTCATATCTATTTTCCATATTATCCAATACATTAAAATTGCATCAGTGGAATGGTTGGAAGCATTGATCAGAGGCTTTTCGAGTCTCTCCGCTTCCTATTTCTCCTAGGGACATATTTCGTGACAAATGAAATAAAAGTACGTTGGTCAATAGCGACAGAAAGATCATTGGTTTCTCCTTTCTGGTAGCCTCGGCCCATTCACAAGAATGCGCTGAATTTCTTCAAATGTGGAACAAGCTTCAACTTGGAGATAAGGACAAACTGATTACAATGTTGTGCTCAAAGGTCACTGTCAACAAAGCTGGAAACCATTTACATGCCTATCAATTTATCATTTATAACACAGTACAGGAAAGAACCCCCCCCCCCCCCTATAAGCATATTAGGGCCCCTTTTAAGAAGAACATTTCCTTAACATGTAAAAAAAACAACCTTCCCCTATTTTTTATTATAAATCACCTGAATGGTTTTCATTGGACAGTGTCAATATTGAATCCATCCAAAATGAGTTATGGTTCAGTCACCAGGTCTCCTCCCTGTTGGACGAGCTTGAAATACCTTCAGGGTTAGTCACCCAGGAGGTGTGTTTAATTAAACAACACACAGTAAATACTTCCAAATCACCAAAGCAACATCTTTGTGTGATTTCTACAAGTTTCTGCATGTTTAATCATTCTTGTTGTAAAAACATTGATTAAGCTCACACAGCGTAGGTTAAAGGAGAGTTTCTTGCTTGGAGCTAAATGAGATGATAGAAACCACTCAAATGAAGCGGCAGGCAACATTTGGTTATCATTTTAAAAGTGAAAATAGAGGGCTAACTATGGTAAATAAGACATCTACAAATAAGCTATGTAATAACTAGCTGTCGGGCACAAACTGTAAGTGTGAATGAGGTCATTATGTTTGGACGGATAGGGGCCTGAGAGGAAGGGGTTGTCACATTGCTTTGTGGAAATACCTGACATCGTTTCTGAAAAAAGCATATACACCCCTTGTGAAGTGACCTTTATTGTTGTAACTTTGGTACTGTTTTTGTAGCTTATTGTGGGAACATAATTGTCAAACAACTGCCATAGAATTATTTAAAAATTATTTTAAAAAAAATCCACACTTATGCAACATGCTAGTCTTTTTTCCTCACAGTCTTAGATATGTCAATGTGTTTTTATAGAAAATATATGATTACTAAATGATGCAATATATCAAAACACAAAGAGATACAGAAAGAACATTTTTATTGGAAAAGTACAGCCCTTAGGCAGGGATCAACAACCTGGTGTTTGGGACATGTTCCTACAATTGAAGTGGTTCAAAATGGCTTCCAAATATCTGTCAAACTGTTGCTATACATGAAGGCCCCGGCCCCACGAGGACGCATACGGCTAAACGCATAGGATTAACGCAAACGCAATCGCAAAAAAGCTTCCGTCCACACCAGGTCCACACGCAATGTTCACCGGATAGTGTCTGTCCACACGAGACAGCTCCGTTTAGCTCCAACCGCTGGAGAAGCTGCAGTACATATGGAGCCTTTATGTGGCGCTGTAACTTCCTCCACAAAAGCAGCGAAGAAGCATGGTTGTCATGGTTGCCCTTCTGTTTATTCTCCGCGGTGGGGGCCGAGGGAACCGGGCAGAGTCAGTCAACGTGTATTAAAGTTTAAATCTTCCGGACAAAATTATAAAAGTGCCGGTCAAAGGTCTTCTTTGCTATTTATTGAGCTTTAAAACAAATGAATAACGAATCTATATAATATAATAATATAATACATGGAGCCTCTCTTTTTCCTCCCTCTCTTCGGACAGCGTCAGTGTCTGTCTCAAGCAGCAGCTGATCCAGTAATGAGTGACCCGACAGTAAAAATAAACATATTTATAACTAGTTTAGGTAGTTTGAGAGGTAATTAAAATAGCTAAGGGTGATGATCTGACTTGAAGTGTGTGTTTTGCTCCGTTCCCCGCTGCATCACAGCGGGAGGAGCTGCAGCTGAGCAGAGCTGCGTGTCTCCGTCCTGTCAGATTAGACTTCACTCGCGTTTATGTCCATATCGAGAGAAAGATAAATAATCTGAATTCAGTGTGCAGTTTACTTTGACGTGGGGGTGAGCAGCAGAGGTGGGGAGAGGCGGGGCTATTGCGTCATCATTATCAGAAAAGAAAATGATCGTATAGGGCGCACGCACAGAGCCGTTGGACCCCCCAGAGCGTTGCGTATGCCGTTCTATCCACCTTGGGACCCGTTATCGTGTCCGCAGTTGTTTACTGTCATATTCGGTCGTCCTCGTGTGGCCGAACGGTCTATATGACACTAAACAGTAACACAAACGACCGTTTTCGTCCTCGTGGGGCCGGGGCCTAAGAGGTTAAGAATCTAGGTATCCGTATTTTGGCTTAACATTTTATAATGGATTTATCGTAGTAGCTGAGGTTAAACTTCTTAAACTTAAATTCAATTGACATAAAGTAGGCCATATGCATTAACAAAGCCAACATGATTGAAAGCATTCAAGATAATTGGTTTCAGGGCGACTTCATCATACACAAGAAACCCAGTTCCTGACTGAGCTTCCATTTGATAGTAATGACCACGAACAGGAATGGCTGATTAATCTCAAGGTGGGTTTGACAGAATGAACAGCAGTCACTGTTTCCAGCTGCGCTCCGCCTGCCCCGGGCTGGTTTCAACATGATTCACTCAACCAGGTGTTACTCAGAGAACAACGCCATTTCAAAGATGAAACTCAGCACAAAGTTGATCTCTTTTTTCATCTGTCAACAAATCAGGACTTGATTTCTTCAAGTATCCTGCATCGTAACAACTCAAGACTCAGTTAGTGTAAAGAAGGCGATGAGAGTTTGGCATGAAACGCGTGGAAGAGTGGATCCTGCCGTGTCAAGGCTTGTGTTTGCTCCGAGCATGTGTGCCAGTGGGAGCGTGTGTCGGCAGGTGGGAGAGAAGTGGTGATTCATTCGGAGCTGCATTTTGTTTGTGAACAGAACTGGTTTTGATGCCTCAAAGGCGTTCTGCCCACCTTTCTTTCCGAGTGTGTGTGTGTGTGTGTTGTCTGGGAGAGAGCATTCCTCTTATAGACTTTTTCCAGGGAAGACCTAAAACAAGATCATGTCTGAACTGTGACTCTGCAGCAAGTAGTGGAAGTATTCAGATCGTTTACTGAAGTAAAAGTACTAATACCACACTGAAAATACTCCACTACAAGTAGAAGTCTCAACGTCTCAAAGTATTGATTGTGCAATAAAAGTAGTTAAAGTATACACTGCCCCTAATTAAATCTTTAGGAGTATCTGTGACGGTTCGTATTGACTGAACCCGATAAACTCAGTGTCGTGCTTCCTTTTCAAGTGCACACCTGTTTGTGAATGACAGTCACTGTGTGTTGTTTGGGCTAGACTTTAGTGATTAAGGAGGTGAGTTAACATTTACAAACGTCTGTCTGTGTGATGGTATCTAAAACGCAAAAACAAAAAGCAAAACAAGTCAAGATAACCAGTTAAACCAGGCTTATTTCAGTAAGTCAAGCGCTTCAATTCAGAAAACCCTGTGTCAGTAAGCGAGGCCTTTGCCTTATCATTATAACTACTAGGCTACTATGTTTTGTTGTTGCACTAACCGGTACATTATTTTAATATCACACATATGTGTGTGTAAAAGTATGTACGTATAACTAGAAATCTTCCTTAAACATTTAGCTTTTCCCATGTATTTCCCCATTTGTGAATAATATTAAAAATTGAATAATTAGGATAATAAATACATAATAATATAATAATATTTGTATAGCAGCTTGCATATACAGGACTGTCTCAGAAAATTAGAATATTGTGATAAAGTTCTTTATTTTCTGTAATGCAATTAAAAAAACAAAAATGTCATACATTCTGGATTCATTACAAATCAACTGAAATATTGCAAGCCTTTTATTATTTTAATATTGCTGATTATGGCATACAGCTTAAGAAAACTCAAATATCCTATCTCTAAATATTAGAATATCATGAAAAAGTATACTAGTAGGGTGTTCAACGAATCACTTGAATCGTCTAATTAACTCGAAACACCTGCAAGGGTTTCCTGAGCCTTGAAAAACACTCAGCTTGGTTCAGTAAACTAAATCACAAGTATGGGGAAGACTGCTGATCTGACTGCTGTCCAGAGGACCGTCATTGACACCCTGGAATGGACGAGAACGCAACAAATACGAGCACTAAAGCGAGAATACTCACCAGTTGGATTGCTATTCGGCTAATTGGTCTTTTTGGGTACTTTCCAAGTTCCATAGTCCTGTAATACTCTCTTAGTTCGTAAGCTTTTATTGTGTATGTGGGTAATTAGTTGTGTCGAAAATAATGAAGTTACTACGTTAAATATACATTGTTTGTAATAAGGACTATATTATCACTATGAGCTCAAATAATATGAATGTAAATAAAATATGGTTAAATAGTTGACTAATTTATGAATAATAATAATAAGTATATTTTAATTTGTTTATCGTATATGTTTTTCACATATATTAATAAATAATAATAATTAGTATATTTATAATCATTTTTCCTTAGTAATCTTTATAAATATTATTATGTCCTGACAGAGTCTAATCTTATAACCATTTAAGAAATAAAAGACATTACGGTTAATTTTTTTTGTTTTACAGTATGGAGACCTAAGTAATGTTTAGGTTTGAACTTTATAACGTTCGGAAAATAATAAAATTAAACGACTAATACCGTATGTCGAATTCTTTTGATGTTTTTAGGATAGAGTTTTTTAATCTTATCAAGGAGTTGGTTCATTTTTTTTTTGCATTAGACCGAACTGAAACATCCGATGGCCTTAATGACGTAGTACGCCGCACCGGTACC